TTTATTATTGTGGCTGTTTTTATAAAGATGGAACATTGCAAAGGATTGTGTTTTATTGATTGGTGGAGTTATGATGCAGGACTATAAAGCAGTGTGTTGAAGTATTAAATTAAATATTCTTCCTCTTTGTCCTACTTCAGGCCCATCTTGGAGGTTAAAGGGTATTACACAAATGAAATGATAAATCCAGTTTACATAGTTTCCCTATAGACATTGAACTGCTTCTTTCTTATTATGTCTGAATAAAACTCATTATCTATTTTGTTTCAGTAATAATTATGAGATTCTCTCCTAAGCAATTCTTTACTGTCTCCATTATTCTCCATCTTATAGCATACTCTGGAAAGGCAAGCATATAAATATGATAAAAGAATTAAGCTGTTGAAATAAATTAATTTATTGTGCAACAATGTATTCAAATCTTACTTGCTCAGTGGATTTTACTTTAATGAAATTCTTCAAAGAACAATACATCATGTTCCAAAGATTGAAATTATACATTAAGTGAAATGACTGAATATGTTGTGTCTCAATTTATAGAAAGTTTCAATGGAATACTTAGCTTTTAAATAATAAAAATTTGCATAAATTAAAATATTTTCTTTAAATGAAAGTACTAAGTATTGTCTTTGTATCCTTTGTTCTTAGACAGTTATAATTAAAGTAAAAATAAGCTAAAGCTAAATTAAATACACTTTCACCTACATTTTCTAAGCCTTAAATTATGCTTTTAAGATGTATTTTACATTAGATTTAAATCTAGTTTATTTTTTTTACCCGATTTATTATATGATATTTTAGAGTATTTTGAATGTATAAATGAATAAGTAAATAATGCATGAATGAAAAGAATCATTAAGGAAAGCTTTGACAGTTAAACATATTGTCTAATGAAATAATTTTTATACTTCTGTGGAAAATAAAACAACTAATTGTTTTTAATGGCATAATCATTGTTGCTAGAATTTTACACATTAAATATTTAAGTATTTTATGAGTTAAATATCTCTGGAAAAAAAACAGTTTCTCATGCTTTCCATTAGCACCAGTAAGAAGTCTGTTATGACAGGAAACTTAAGACTTGCAAAATAACTTCAGAGGGATTGATTTATTTCAAGATCTCACTTTGTCTCTGTGCCTCCAAACGTGTGCCACTGCATATATGATCACTTACATCACTATTATGACAAATATTAAAATGTAATAATGAATAAACATTGATATCAGTGACTTTTTCAAGAAAATAGAATGGTTAAGTTAGAAAACTGTTTTTTTGTCAATTAAAAGTATAGAGCTTTCTTTTTCAAATACTTACCACGTAGTTTTGTGTAATCCAAGTGTTGAGAACCAGACATATTAGGGATTACCTTCCAAGTTTAGACTCATTTGCCTTTTTATTAGAATTTTTAGAAATCAAGGTTAGACTCCTTAGAGTTTTTCTCTGGTCATTTACTCCATTAACATTAGCATAAATTATTAATACATATACACAGACTATATAAGAATTCTATGTAGTAAATTCTATACAGTATACTGAATTCTATATAGTATTATATGTAAAGGATTAAGAACACCTCTTCCAAGACCTATCTGAGCTGCTACTCGAAAGACGCATTAAGCACAGTGTTGTTTCAGGTAGTTAAGTACATGACCTAATTGGCATTTTGGGAGCTGTGAGAGGATTAACAAATTGTGGGATATTTGTGCAGTTGAATATATTCAACAGTAGAAAAAAATAAACTAATGGCACATGAAATAACTCGGATGAATCTCAAAAAAGGTTTGTTGCTGTGAAGAAGTCAGACACAAATATGTACTGTATCGTTTCATTTTTATGAAATTCTAGAACCAGCAAGTCTATTTTATGGTGATAGAAGTCAGAAAGTGGTTGCTTATAGGAATCGAGAGGAATTGACTGGAAAGGGACAGGAGAAGTCTTTCTGGAGTTATAGGAATGTTCTAGATCTTGACAACTCATCAAACTGAAAACATAATAAATGCATGGTTTGCTTCATAATTTAGGGTAGGTGTGAATGTCAAGAAAAAAGATTTATAATATCAGCTGCTTTTAAAATTATGATGAAAAGATTGGAAGTAACATCAACATCCAGATGTGAAGTCTCTATTCTTTTAAATCATATGTGTTTGTTTCTTAGAAACTTAGGTCATTTATAAGCAGGTGGACTAAAGAACTCATATCATTTAGAAGTTTATCTTCTTTGGGGAGCCTGGGTGGCTCAGTTGGTTAAGTGGCTGTCTTCAACTCAGGTCATGATCTCAGGGTTCTGGGATGGAGTCTCCTGGTGGGCTCCTTGCTCAGTGGGGAGTCTGCTTCTTCCTCTGTCCCATGCCCTGCTCGTTCTCTTTCTCTCTTATTCTTTTATTCTCTCTTATTCTCAAATAAATAAATACTTTTTTTTTAAAGTAACCTCCTTTGATTTATTTAGTTTGGAAAAATAACTGATAATATGTTCATGTTTGTGTGTTGAGACATCAATTTCAAAATATTTAATCTCCAAATTGTGTAGTTGGATACCATCTTTCTTTAGTATCCCTTAGTATAGGAAATGCATGACATGTCGTAAACTTCCCTGAACAATCTAACAGTAAATTTTAGCTCTGGAGGATGTGTGTCTCCCTCTTTCCCTGTTTTCTGCCCCATCTCTCTCTCTCCCTCATTTGCTTATTTTTAGTCATTCAAATGTAACCCCACATGACTTGGGTAGGAAAATATATTGTGTGATGCTTACATTTACCGACATACCAGTCTGTGTTGCTGTTTGCAGAAAATAGAGCACTTAATTCTTAACCTCCGATCAATTAAGGTAAAGGGCGAGTGTTATATGGTACAATATTGATAATACATCTCTCCTTTGGGAGGTTTTAATTGTCTTTTACAGAAACCAATCCACACATTTTAGACCAGTCCAAAAGCTCCTAAAATACAAAAAATATCTTTACAATAAGATTCTAATATGCATTGCAACTTTTGGAAGAATTTAGGTTTTTTTTTTCCTTTGTTTTGGTTACAGTATTGATTGATCTTTCAACTCTTCCGTCATGAACTTTCTTATGGGCCTTTTTTTATTCCATGGAATATATAATGGGAAACTGGTTCATGCATGGATTTTGCAGAAGGCTTGGTCATTTTTCTGCTTATTTTCATTTTATTTGTCATGCTTTTCCCAAATTAAGCCTCCACATATCTGTGGAAGATGTTTATCAACAGTGTTCAGGATTGAAAAATTAAATGGGTGTGAGACAAGTGGTGCTCAATTTTGGACACACATTAAAATCACCTGGAGTCTTAAAAAGTGAAGTCTGGGCTCCACTTCTGATTCAGTGCATGGGACTGTTGTAATAAAGTATCATAAACTGAGTGGTTTGAAGCTACCCAAATGTGTCCACTCACATTTGTAGAGACTCACATTTGTAGAGACTGTAGAAGTCTGAAATCAAGATGTCGGCAGTGTCATTCTCCCTCTGAGCTCCCAGGTAGAACCCTTGCTTACCTCTCCATCACTTCTGGTGGTGCCTGGTCATCCTTGGCATTCTTGCCTGGCAGCTGTGTAATTCTAATCTCTACCTCTATACGTGACATTTTCTCTCATATCTTCACAATGTCTCTTGTAAGGGCACCAGTCATGTTGGATTAAAAGCCCACTCTACTCCAGTAGGACCTCATTGTAACTAATTTCAGCTGCCAAGACCCTTTGTCCAAATGAAGTTCACATTCACAGGTACTGGGGATCAGGACTTCATTTTTTCTGGAGACATGATTCAACCCCTCATACTCAGCAAGACAGAATCTCTGGGAAGGAAGCCCAGGCACAGGCGTGTTACAAATTTCCCAGGTGATTCTAATGCAGAGCAAGATTGGGAACCATCACGGGACTAATAGAACCCCTGAGACTGACAATAGGTACTATAGACCCTCATTCTCAATGGTCGATTGACCTCCTGCAAGTCAATTACATTTTAGAACTTTTTTCTTTTAAATTTCTTAAAGTCTGCTCTTTCAAAATTTGCATTTTTGCACCCAAATAAAGAACTATTGATTTATTCCATATCATGTAGTTACTTCTAACCTTTCAAATATTTATTAATTATTGAAAAGACAGTTCTTCAAGGCCTATGTGCCTTGCTATCTGAAGGCATAAGTATCATGTTGCTCAAAGAAGAAAATGTTAATAAGTGGAGTATCTTATTTCTTAATCTGTAACTCCATTTATAATAGCTCATTGGAGACAGTTATACGATATATTTGCACATTAGTCTAATGGGGAAGGTTCAGAACTTAGCAGGAAAGACAGGGATGGGACCTAAGTGTTAATACAATAGTATTAGGAAACATGATACCAACTTTCCCAAGGATACAACTAATATATATTTCATGAATTTCCTCAAATACATAATACTGGGTTGGAGCTGAGAGAAACAGGTAGTCTGAAAATTATTAGGATCAAAAAAATTATTCCAATGTTAAATAATAATCGATTTCTATGACACCTTAAAATGTGACCATCCAGGTGTGTCCAGAGCAGGGCCATGATGAAAAAGCTGTTAATAACTCCTCTAGTGTTTTTATTATGGTCTGTCACATTGATAATTTGTGTGCTAAATGATCCTTACACACTTGCTACAGCAATAGAACATAGAGAATTCTTTAAATTGATAGTTGTCTGGACTTGATACCTGCTTTGTTCTGTTATTTTGTTGTTGTTCTAATGGGTTCTAAAAGGGTCATCTTTGCTGACCTCCCTTTTTATCCAGAGAGGGGATCCACATTTGCCATTATTGCTTGCCTGTAGAACTTGTTTCCTAACTAGTCTTTCCCTACTTTGGCTTTGCTCAAGATAAAGGGTTAAAATGCCAGTGAAAGATGAATCTATTTCCTTTACATTTCTACAGTACTGCATGAACAAAAACCAACATTCATTAAGTAACGTTCCCATGTATTTACCTCTTTTCTCCCCCAATTCCTTCCCATGGTGCCACAGGAGCGTGTCCCAGACAGCCCTTCACCTGCCCCCTCTCTGGAGGAGGGCCGGAGGCCTGGGAGCCACCCATCATCCCATCGGAGCAGCAGCGTGTCCAGCTCCCCAGCACGGACTGAGAGCTCCTCGGACAGAATCCGTAGGTCTCATACTTTTACTTGTCACCATTTTAAACTTTATTAGGTGCAGCTGGCTTTTCTAATCAAAATGCCCTCATTCCAAATAGATCTCAGATGTATCATGTTCTGAAGCTCTGTAGCAATAGCCATCTCTCAAAATTATGTTTCCCAGTTTGCAGTATTATGAGGTATGGTGCTACATTAAAAGGTTCTGATATAAACTCCCTCTCTTTGATGCCACACATAAAGGTCTGAGCTATGAAACAGAGAAAGTAAGCTTCTAGATTAGTTTCTGAAGTAAACACCTCCAACTCAACAGTTATCTAGTGGCTAAGGATATGATTTGGGGATTACTCAACTTCATTCTTCAGTCCCACCCCTTGCCAGGTTTTGAAATTTATCAATTTTCAAAATTCACCATTGCATTGACAAACATAGCCACAAAGAGGAATTCAAAAAATGAAATTCATAGCAATTAACTTTAAAAAGAATGTCTTCGTCATTCTGATGGTCAGTGGATTGAAGAATTTTAAATTGCTTGAGTTTTAGAATTTGAATTAGTACATCAGTAATGCATATTGTTGTCAGATATTATTGTTGTTAAATTCTAAATTGTAGGGGCTCTTTTATTTCGTGATCACATTTTCAGATATTTAACCAAGAAAATGAAGAGTAAGCTTAAAAATGTGATTCAATTAACTGGTTATTTTGTATCTGTATTTTGTGTCAAGAATCTAATATTGTTTTTCCAATACAACAAACATATTAGCAGTGATTGTGTTGGTTGACAAAATCAATATCATTGTATCCTTTCCAGGATTTACTTTATTTTAGGAAATCGTGTTTGTGATATAAACTTCATCTAATTACACATAACTGGCTGAAGTTATTTGGTTGTTGAGAATATTTTTATAATAGGAAAAACATTTGCTAGAAAGTATATTTATAAGTCATTAAGCAGAAATTTATTTATTTATTCTTATTTATTTGCATAAAGCAAGAATCCTTAGAATGAATGCTATTGAGGTAGATAATAAATACTAGGTTGATTAAATTGTGTACAATTATTTTTAAAAATAGTTAATTATTGAAAGTTATATAGTTCAACATAATTCTATGTTTGGCCTGTCTAAAACATATTTCCCTAATTTTATAAGAGATGAATATAGCTGTGTATTAATAAAAGTGATTGTAACCATTCCCAAACCAATGACATTTTCTGGGGCTGGCAAATCTTGGCTCCCACTACCTCAAACCATCTTTCATATAAAATATTTTCTGTATACTTATAGGCCATGCTGACACTAGAACCAGAAATTTCATGATGCATACTGGTTTCATTTTTAATGCTTTTATAAGATGTCATCACTGAAAAGACACTGTCCTTCTAGAGAAAGTAAAATTTTTTTTCACAACACTTAAATGGAAATTATGGGCAGATAGGGAACAATTTGAAAGAATTTTGTCATACATTCATGTTTTAAATTAATCATTGTGTTCTTTTTTATTCTTGATAGAACAAAGGAGAAATTTTTGCATATTTGGACTACCATAATTGTCCAAGTGGAAATACATACACTTGCACACAAATTCATGCATACACACACACACACACACACACACACGTAAATACATGTTCATGCATATGCATATTTTAATTTTTGTTTTGAAAATTAGACTGGCACAGACATTTAAAAAATAATACAAAGAATCCTTTCACACTCATCAGTCAGACGCACCCAGTCAACAATGTCTCTGAAAAAGCTATCTTTTTTTTTTTTTAAATATTTTTATTTATTTATTTGACAGAGAGAGATCACAAGTAGACGGAGAGGCAGGCAGAGAGAGAGAGAGAGGGAAGCAGGCTCCCTGCTGAGCAGAGAGCCCGATGCGGGACTCGATCCCAGGACCCTGAGATCATGACCTGAGCCGAAGGCAGCGGCTTAACCCACTGAGCCCCCCAGGTGCCCCTGAAAAAGCTATCTTGATTAAGGCATAATGGCACGTTAATGTCCGGAGGCATAATGACACGGACACCACGTTCCTTTACCTCAAATACATCATTGTTTGTCTTCTCGAAACAAGGAATTTCTCTTATTCAATCACAAAACAATGATCAAAATCAGGAAATTAAAATTATGTTTAAACTATAAATCTTTTTCAAGTTACACCAACTTTCCTACTAATATAATTTTTTATTTTTTTCTTCTAATGCTTTTAATAGGAAAAGATTTTTCCTTACTGGTCCAAAAGCCAATCCAGGATCACATATTGAAATTACTTGTCATATTCCTTTAGTCTCTTTTAATCTGGAACAGTTCTTTGTTTTTTGTTTTGTTTTGTTTTGTTTTGTCTTTCAGTATCTTGACAATCTTTTTTTGAAGAATATAGGTCATTTATTTTGTAGAATTTCCTTCAGATTGGATGTTTTTGTTTTCTCATGATTAAACGTTCCTTGAATTATGAATTTTTGGCAGGAATCACAGAGGCATGATCATGTGTCTTTCTCAGTACATTGTTCCAAGAGACATGATATTCCTCCAATACTTGTCATAACTATCTCTTTGTTAAGGTGGTGACTACCAGACTTATGTACTGTAATGTTACTCTTTTTTTAAACCTCTGTAAATAATAAGTTGTAATATTAAGTCTTGTGAGGAGATATATTAAGACTTTATATAAGTATTATATTTTTCATCAGACTTCCATTCCACTCCTCTAGAATCATCTGTTGAAGATACTTCCCTCACACAGTTATTGCTATGGTGATTTCCAAATGATAATTCCTAATATATTCTTATGGTATTTTCAAAAAAATCTCTTTTTTCTAGAGAAGGTAAGTTTTTATGGAATGAGTTCTCATCCAGTTTTATACACAAAACTAAGATTTTCCTGGGCAATTTAGTAGGAAATTTATTGACTGGATTTTGAAAATCATAAGGGTGTTTTGTCATCTACTTTATTATTTCAATAGTGACATGTTACTGTTAATAGTTCAGGAAAGCAATTATAGTTTTTATTCATTCAACCATTCAATAGATATTAATTGGGCACTTGTATTTTCAAGTCTGAGTTCAAACCCAATTTTTAAAGAAATACTTTGGTGTCTGAAACCTTATGTTTTATTGACTAGAATAGGATATGAATATTGAAATTACATTAGCACCTTAAAGTTAAAAGTTAATAGCTTTTAGTGGTTGTAGTGGTAAGGCCATTCAGAAGTATTCTAGATATATAAAAATATATATATTCACTGTGAAATAAAAACAAGATAGAATGTTTTCAATTCCAATATTTTTCTGCTTTAAACATTTTCATAGTTCTCAATTCTCAGTGTTCTTAGAGATAGATTAAAACATTAAGTTAGACCATTATATTTTATTTATTTTTGAGTCCAATTGAGTTTAATTAATTTGTTTGAACATTGTGTGTTATGGTGTTTTTGTCTTTTTTTCTTTTGTTTTGGGCTTCACAGCTGTCCATCAGAATGGATTGTCCATGAACCAGATGCTGATGGGTTTATCACCAAACGTACTCCCTGGGCCCAAAGAGGGAGATTTGGCTGGTCATGATATGGGACATGAATCGAAAAGGATGCATATTGAAAAAGGTAATATATGATTATGTGGCCTTGTTTTTTTTTTTCCTGCTCAACATGTGGGCTAGATTTTAATCACAGAATGAGGTATACTTCTACCTCAAAAGATGGCATAAAAACATTGAAAAAACCTACAGTATTAGGTAAAACTTAAGCCTTTTCAGCAAAGAGGAAGTGAACGAAGATCTGCTTTTCCTTATACGACAGGTAGGTGATAATTTACTTTCCAATACATGGAAAAAGTGGACAATTGTTTGTTTTAATTACTATCACTGAGTTTCTAAAGACCTACTATTAGTCTTTCTAAATGCTGTTAGGGCCAAATGTCATTTTTCTATACCTGATAGAGCTCAAAATATACAAAGGATTATTATTAATATTTTTGGATTAAAATATATATCATCATCTGACCAATCAGGAAATAGAAGTGAATCTAACCAAACAATGTACTAGTTGTTTCAAAATTATACATAACAAATAGCAAAGCCCAGATGGCAGGAAGCTGAAAGTTTTCTCTTTGTATTACATTTGTATCAGCTCAATTCATTTTCAGAGGCAAATATTGGTATTTTCATGCCCTATTTCATAAAGGACTTTCATGAAGAAATCGAAATATTATTTTGATATGCATGTTAAAAATTTGTGCTAGTAGATGTAAATTTATTTTTTTCAAATAGTAAGGTTTAGATTGTGAATATAAGAGCCCTTCCAAATATTTTCATCTTAATTTAATATTTTTAAATCTTATTAATATAGAATGGGTACTTTGAGTGTCTTTTTTAACATGAATACCAAATCATCAGTGTTATGAAAAGGATCACTTCTTTGGAAAACATAATTACACAAAAAGCACAATTAGCTGTCAAAAAGGAAAATAAATAAAATTGGATATTTAATAATTAATGAAGCAGAAAGAAATGATTAGAGGAAGATCAAGTTAAGGTGTTTTTTTCCTCCAAAAGTAAGAAAATTTATATAAAGTCTTTTCCCATCCAACATAAAAACAGTCATGCTGAGAGCCCTTAGGGAGAAAGAATACCATATTTCTACAAATTAGATTATCTGCATTATGGAATGTGAATGAGAAAATGATAATCTTTTCTAGGTGTTAATATGTCAAAATCTAGGTATAAGTGAGAGCAGTATTAAGACAACTTTCTAATCTGTTATTTTGAAATTTGATATCAAATGTTATTACTAAGCTAGGTAAATGCAATGCAATGTATCAGTGAGCCAGATGGTACCTAAATACTTAATTCTAGTTTTTTCACAAGCTGTTCTTCAACAATGAATAACAATATATATATTGCCCCTTACATATATTTTGACATATACCTTTTATATTTGATCAAAACCTATTTGTAGAAATACAAAAATTAGCATCTTGAGAAAATATAAAGCTTCATAAGACTTTTTAAATTTAAGTAATAATATTTAAATAAAAGAATTCATCGTCTAGGTGAAGCAGCCATTCTCCATCAAGGTTTTGCATAAGAATAAAGCCCTAGGGGCGTCTGAGTGGCTCAGTGGGTTGGAGCCTCTGCCTATGGCTCAGGTCATGATCTCAGGGTCCTGAGATTGAGACCCACATCGGGCTCTCTGCTCTGAGGGGAGCCTGCTTCCCCCGCTCTCTGCCTGCCTCTCTGCCTACTTGTGATCTCTCTCTCTCTGTCAAATAAATAAATAAAATCTTAAAAAAAAAAAAAAAAGAATAAAGCCCTAGAAGAAAATAATGCGAGTGACTCATTTTTCAGTTTTCCCGTGGATATTACATAAATCATTTCACTTGGAATGTATAAGAGGGAAGTTAATTTATGACATACAATGTATGTCAGGATATTAGGGCTTAATTCTTTTGCAGCACCTAGTGGAGAAGAGCTGGGAGTAAAAAAGCAAAAGCCCAAAGATGGTCGCAAGGACACCATCAAAGGCATGATCAGTGGCATAATTGGAATGAGTTGCACTGGAATTTTAGGTAAATAGCTTTGTGCAACTGATGCTTCAAGCTGAGTGTGCTACTATTTTCCTATTACTTTTTTCATGGGTTATGTCTATCCATTTATCTATTTCTAAAATTATAATTACAATTTTGCCATCATGGAGCCTCTCCTGAAATACCATATTAGGTTGTTTGAGGGGACCTACTTCTGTTTTTTCCATAGGCCTGCTCCAGAAATCTTCACTACAATATTTGCCTTGTTGTTCGGAAATTATATCTCAATTGGTCTAATCCCAATACTAGACCATAAACTCCTTGGAGTCATCTGTGTAATTCCATTTGCTTTAAACAGACTAAGCAATCTATGAATACATACTGATCTGGGCTGAATCATTAGGAGATTCTAAGAGATGGTGAGAGAAAGTTAAAACAACTATAAAGATTACACTCTTTAAGTATTAGTAGGTAAAAGGTGGAATTATATAACTTTTAGAAGGTACATTTACATGAAATAGCAGGATGTTCTGATGATGAGTATACACAAAAACTTTCTATATCAATAACGGTACTTCTCCTATCGAAGTTTTTAAAAATGATTTTGCTGTCAGAATAAAGATGTTGGCTATATGCCAATGGTTTTCCAATATTTTAATGTATATTTTATAAGAGAAAATGAATGTTTATTTTAATGTTCTTCCTAGGAATATAAAACTACCATTGAATGTGTGATTTCCAATGTAGTTATGTAATCCTAGATATTGTGGTATTGATACTAATTTGTTATATGTTGCTCTTTGTTTTCTATACACTCTCTTTTATCTTTTTTTCAGCATAATGAATTAACAGTAAATATTCATGGCTTTCTAGATTGATAGAGTCTACTAAATTAAAAATTGTTTTCTTTCATGACTACATATATCATGTGCCTCATACTAGCCCTGCAACTTTCTTACTATTTAAAACAAGTGACTTAATTTAGAGACATTGGTAGAGAAATTAATTATATGTTTGTGTCATTTTAGGCTCAAACTTCTTATATGTAATTTGCTGCTTACCACTTTAAATCATTCAAAGCATAATGATTCTTTAGAAAACATTGATTTTAAAAATAGATACCAAAATTAATTTGTATGCTGAGAATCACTGTGGTTTAAAATCTTAATCATCTGTAACTTTTAAGTATTTTTAAATCTTCTTAATATTAAAAAGCTATTAACTCCTCTCTATTAGAATATTTAAGCCCCCGTTAGCTGAAGGCATTCTAATTCAGAAGTACTAACTGCTGAGTAAATTCACTTCTTGTTTTTAAAAACAGCGATAGGTTTTTGAATCTCGGAAGAGTTTAAGGTACATTCAAAATGTAAATGTGAAACCGAGTTAGTATATCAGAAGGAATAGACATAATATCATATCAGTCATCCCAAGTTTAAGGAGAAATGCTTTTAGTATTATAAACTTTGACTAAAATAAGTAATCAGTCAAAGATATGTACTGAGGAAAACTGTGGTATAGCTCAAGGCTTCAAAACCAATTTTATGTCTTCTAAACTTTGATTCCAAGTTCTCTAAAGCTCTCTGGACCTTAAAATCATGGCTGATCTTTTCCCTCAGTCACAATTTAATGGAAGAGGCAGTAATAATTGACATCTGGGTTATATAAATAGATTCACTGTTCCTTTATGCGACACCTTTCTGTTTATTCCCTGCATATTTGTCCATTGATGCTAATTTACAGTATTTCTCACGTATAATTTGTTCCTTGGTGTTGCTTAAATTGTTACTTTTTTCAGCACATTTTTGAGCATGTTTTACATCTTCATGTTGTTCCATACGCACATCTTTTTATTATTATGGAATGTATCTAATTTTTAATTTACCAAAAATTAAATGTATGATACAGATAAGCTTATAGTATCAGCTTTTTCTGATTATAGAAAACTTAAGTGTATATAGTTGACGTATGAAATACTAATTAATGTTGAATTTCAGTCTTGGACTAAGTGTACTGAAATGACATAATCAATGGGTAAATATTTACAGAATGTCAGGTATGTGAAATAAACATGAAATACAAAAGCATTTCCTTTCTCCCTTTCTCTCCTCCTCTCTCTTTTTGCTGTATTTTTTTTCTTAATACATATCCTAGTTTTCCTTGTAGTTGAATCTTTCCCCTTTATTTGTTTTCATAAAAAATATGAAAGCATTCTTTCATTGGTGACTCTTGAGGACTTTCTTTCATTGGTGACTCCTGCCATTTTAGAAGCAGAAATAATTTAAGAAGCAGCAGGAAATACAGGGGATTTGCCTCAGGCCATGAAACATTTCTTTTGTGGCATATTCTGTTCAGTTGGCAGTGCTCAAGATTTCCAATGGCTAACATACTTGTACAAAAGTTTTCTTTTTGGTACTCTGAATTTGAGGACAGGGCACTAAAGGCAATAAAGTAGTTTGCAGGCTGGCGATATTGGGATTTCCTCTCGTTAATAGTTTACTCTTAGCTTCCAACCTTGTGGACTATTTTCCTCAAAAACATCTTTTTGAATGACTATGTCATCTCTTTTCTCAAGTTTGTGGAAACCATTTTTTGAAGTATATTTCCTTTTGTACATTTCTCAATATTTAAAAATTTGAATTTTACTTGAATTAGGATTGAGTCTTCAAGAATGGCCTTCTTTTAAATTCTAGATTCATATCAACAAATTAATTAATAGTAAATATTATTTTGCTGTATATACCTATATCACAAATCTTAACCTGTTAGTATCTCATGTAACTATTTGTATGTGTATAGAGTAAAAGCCCCTTTTCTTTAGAGAGTCCTATATTTTGATTATGTTAACACACGTATAGGGCCATGAGTATTTTCATTTTAAAATTCTCTAACAACGTAACTCTTCCTTCACTTTTTATTTATTTTATTCTTAAGATATAATTTCTCTTGGCATATCTTAAAGTCTTTTGTAAAATATTCTCCCTAAATACTTACTAATGTGGGTTTACTCTTTGTTTTTCCATGCCTATGAAATAAAGGTATTAAACTTAATGCAGATACTTTTAATTCTGTGATTTGTAAC